AGAGAGATGAGCCTAGAAAGAGGGGATCGATTCCATGTATACTGCAGGGCGGGCGCCTCTGATCACTGCACTATACGCTCACCATATGAAAAATGCCTAGCTATGCACATTAATGAATAATAAGTGGATGAATGTCCCATAATTACTCATCATCACAGTCATAATGTTATATTTTCGAACAAAATAACCAATTTACATACGTTATGCAATTTTTAAAAAAATTTCACACTTGAAAATTGCACATATTCCGTCATTGTTCTGGTGATGGCCGTCATAGTTACTATATTAGGAGTTATCTCGCCTTCGAACCTCGAATTTAGGTAACAGAATTCCGCGTGAAGCGCCATCTCTTGCGCGCTACGTACAAGCGCATAATTCTGTGGATACCGTAAATAGCACCCCGTTGGATTCAAGCCGTAGCCGTCTGTAGGTGATCGAGAAGTTGATTAAGGAGAAATGTTAGTCGATGGCTTAAAAAACTGTAGCATCTCCTTATTCGAACTAGAAATTTATAGCTAAACGATAAAAAATCAGAAACAAATGACTTGCTAATTCGGTTAGCAACCACAGACTTCACACTTTGCGTCTCAAGAATACCCACACTTATTTCACTCTCATTCGGGAAAGGACTGGCCGCAGACGGCAAAAGAATGACGGGGAAACCAGATATAATGTTTCTTCGAATGGAATGAGTTTTACTTATTTGCGTCTACATTCGATCAGTTTTGATTTAGGAAGTGTACTACTCAGCTCTATTGCGAAGAAAAAGTGCGCTTCTATGCTGTAGACGAACAGCGCTGGTATTCACAGAATTGAAATGAACTGTCAAGCGACCATGAAGCCGAGGACTTTTCTATGTTTGAGTAGTCGAATCTGATATGTCCGATAATAGCTTTCAGAGAAAAACGGAAAACTGCCAAAAAATTTCTTAAAAATATGACATTCCTTACGACGGAAATAGTTCGCCTCCGACATCGAAACACTAGCCGAATAGAAGCAAAGGTTATTTCTCTGGAAAGTGCTCAATGGAATTTCAATGTCCGTCATAAAGTACAGAGATAATGGCTAAGATGTGGCCAACGATGTGGCCGAATGAACGATTAACTAAGCATGGATGCTCCTGTAATGGAGAATAAACCTAGGCAATAATTAAGAATAACCAGGATTTAAAAAAGTAGTGAGCATATTTTGGGACGCAACGAAGCAACGAAGTTCCTCAACATACAAAGAGGAAGCTCTTGAACACTTAACTTGGAGAATCAGCTGCCTGGCGAATCCATTGCTTTCGGATCTGCATACTTTCGTAAAATCGAAATCTTTCTCTGCTATTCACTCTGATTTCTTTCTGGAAATCCCACTTATCAAAGAAGCATAATCTCCAAAAGAGAAGAAGCATTCAGCCCACGATCCAGTCAAGTGGTATCGAGGTGGGCCGGAAGACGCTTATTGATTGGTTTCGCACGCCACACACAAACACGAATTCTGACTGAGAACTGCAACTTTCACAGAGTTTCTCTTAAAACCCACACAAAGAAAGATATCATTGACATATAAAATATCTATCTAAGATATCCAGAACCGCTCAGAGAAAGGTGAAACGAAGGACCCGCATGGTGTGGTGGTAAACGCATCAGCCCTCGGAAAGAGTAGTAGCGAGTCCGAACCCACTGCAAACACCTACGGAGCGGAGCTTTGTAGAAATCTCAGAATTACTGTAGTTATAAATATCGCTGTTCTTCTGTTCAAAAACAAAACGCAATAGTGGCTTTATACCAGGGGAATTATTGCAAGTTATTTCCAAAGCGTTGAAACCAGAAGGCCGTTTGCGTAAATCTCATTCCCATTGGCCGATTGTCGTTCACAAAAGATCGTCAGAAAGAATTAATGGGGAACTTGGAATATTAATTTAACAACATGAATGCCAGATTGGTTTTGAAATCTATGTCGTCGAAGCTGAACTGAAGTGATATGCATATGTGGAGGGTAAATGGAGGCATCTGCTTGAGCAGAAGTGACTGATCGAAATTATAATACTCGGAAAATACCAGGAAGCCTACTATCCATAGGAATCCAAAATTATTCCAGGACATTTCAATTCCCCATTTGGTGTATTTGGCCTTCATCACTTTACCATACTGTAATCATTTTAAAAATTCTAATCGACGTGTCTGGTCACACATAAGATTGTGCAACAAAATTGCTCGATACCTGAATGGAGGGCGCGCGTAGCGCAGTGGTTACAGGTGCACAGCGACACACATAAAATTCTGGTTGTAGCTGTTAACAATGATTCTGATTTCTCCGATAAAAATTTTTGAGAATTCCACGAAGTCAGTGAAGTTGACAATTTCTGCACCTAACGAACGATCTTTATCTACAAGTCGAAGGCAATTACCAATTGTCCATCTCCGTTTTAACATGGATATCTCAGACAGTAATGAAAGTTATAAGCTGTAATGAAACATAAGGATTGTAGATTTTTTCAACTAGGTATCAGTCTCCTTTTCTTAGCACAATGAAAATTGGACATTTTACAAACGCTTTAGTTTTAAATATGCTTAAGAAACCCACACCTTGGAAGAGTTATTATTTCTTCATGAAGTTATAGTGTAGGGTCTTTTTTACAAGTCTGTCAATTCATAAACTTCGTAAGTCTTCTTGTTACCGAAAACAATCGGAATTTATTGGAAAACAGCCACCCTCCATTACGTAGAGCATACGAAACTCAAATTTCTTATCAACTACTTAACGATCATAGAAATAACAGCACCTGCCTGCAAAGCCTCCATGAACGCCTTCGTCCCAGACTTCGCAATGGTTCCAAGGTTATTCGCAAGATCTGCCTTGGTCATTCCAATTCCGGTATCCATAATGGTAAGGGTCTTTTCATCCTTATTCGGAATTATCTTGATGTACAGATCTTTCCCTGTATCGAGCTCCGCCAGTTCGGTGAAAGCCTGGTTTAATTACCCAAGTTTGAGAAATGTCTGACGATAAAGGCGAGACCTTCGCATTCCAAGCTGAAATCACTCAGCTTATGAGCTTGATTATCAATACTTTCTACAGCGATAAAGAAATCTTCCTGAGAGAACTGATCTCTAACTCATCTGACGCCCTGGATAAGATTCGCTATCAGGCTCTCACCGAACCGGCGGAGTTCGATACAGGGAAAGATCTGTACATCAAGATAATTCCGAATAAGGAGGACAAGACCCTTACCATTATTACAACTACTTAACGTTCTTTTCTTGCCACGATGAAAATTCTGCTGTTATGACGAGCTGTGATTTTCGTATAAGGCCGATTTTTCGAGCTGAGCCGGCCACATTCCTCACTCAAGTAACACTCTCTGTGGCTAGCTTCCATCAAATAATTGGAAAACTTACGAACAACAAAACAATAAGTTTTAGAAGAAGCTGTTCAATATGCGAATGAAAATTTATATTTTGTCTGCTGAGGTTATAAAGGCTTTAGGATGAGTAGAATTCGTGTCAATTTGACCTTTCCAGACTCTACAAAAGGCGAATCCGGCGAAACGTCACTTATGGTGTGTTAATAAATGTTCAATAACAACGTTGTGTTTGCTGATCAAGAAAAACTCTAAATTAGCAATCATTGCCGAAGTTAAAACGAAGTAGGTCCTTGAATATGCAACAACATCCTGTATGGTTACCATTAAAACAAAACACTGTTGATCCATGCCGAAGTTCGATAGAAATTGTATAATTTATTAGGTCATATGATTGATCAATGCCTGAGTTAAAAGAAAGTCAGTCTTGAGAAAGCAACACACAAAAGAACTGCACTAACCATAATGTAGTGTATACTGCAACCGATCGATGAGTGTACGAATTACAAGTAAAAACGGTAACTGTGAAAATGAATACCTCAACAGTCAGAGATGATTTAAAATAAAAAACAAGGTTATGCAGGCGGTGCTACCAATATCCGAACGAATGGTGTAACTCTAGTTATGCTTAGATGAGGCCGAGAAAGTCGTACGCTCATGCTATCACACGATTCTACCTAGCAAGGTGGTTGTGGTTTGGTATAGAACTGCGGCGAAGAAGCGTGCAGTGTCAAGTAATTTGAAGTATAATAGATTACATCTTAAGGTTAAATAGTCCTGAAAAAGTAATATAATGAATAGAAGAGACGATATGAAATTAATAATAGAGAACATTTCACGGAGAACCATGTCAGTGCTCGTAGGAACTTTTTCGATATTTAGGGTGGTAGATCTTTACTGAAATCTTGCAGAATTCTGTAAGGAATATGGAATCTAAGAGTGAGCCTCAAAAGAATTTTGTCTAAAAACCTGCCCCCAGTCCAGTTTAAGCCGTGCCCGACATTCTGGAGTTGTCGGCAGCGTCGCTCATTTTCAATTGTAAGAGTTCCATGTTCGCTCTTTTGCTTGGGTTATGCTGTATACACTTAGCCCTACTCCAGCCTTTGTAAACGATGACTGCGCTAGCAACTCTTGCATAATCCCAAAGAAACAGCCAAGGAAAAAGTTAGCGGGGTCTAAGAAGAGTTCTCAAAACCACGTGTTCTCTGTGTCCTCCACTAATTTCTTCATGTTACTGCGCGCTTTCCAAAGCGTGCTTTTATATCCCTCACTTTTGCGGCCAAGTTATTCATCACGTTTTCCTCTGACTCAAGCAAACATAGCTGCATTGTTGCTTCAGAGCTGATTAAGAATCGTTATGTACTGAGCACGGTCTCTTTGGCCGTCCAGACATTCTAAAACTGCTTTGCTCTGACTGAGCCAAGAACCTTTTCAAAACATTTGCAACAATACAAGTCATTTGTGATGAGTCCTCAATCTGATTGTTTTTTATTTGGTGCAGAAACCTTTTCTGTGGTACTTTTATGATATATCGACAGCTTCCGGACTTCGAGTAGACTAAATAACACAAAGATGGTTCTACTGATGAGGCAGGAAGTATCACGCTTCTGCTGTACGAGTACAATTACCTGGGTTCTATGGCGATTTCTTTCTTATTATACAGTGAGATTAGCAGAAAATACGAGGGCACCATTACCTCTGTTCCCCGAAGGAGGAGAGCATTTTGGACCAAACGTAGACGAAAAAGGATTTTATCATGAATTTGTCTTGCATTTCTAGAATCTTGGGCTCCCTCTAAGTTGCTCACCAAGACACAAACTACCTGCTTCTCCTCTAACAATGTCTTAATGAATGTCGCCGTTATGTGGACGCGATCCATTGTAATTAACTCTTTTCGAAGCCATTACTTGTCTTCTTCCTAATATTCTGCCAATTCTGAAGATCGTCAAATCAAAAGATCATCGGAAGATCAAAATTATACCGATAAAAAAACAAACAGACTGATCACAGCATGTAGACCGGTTTATGCAGAGAGATTGTTGCTTTTCTGCATAACACCAAGTTGTGAATTTTTCCTTGCCTTACTCCTACTGCGAACAGTATTTCTATAAGGCATTAATAATGTGGAAACGATGATTAGCAGAGGTTCATCAATCATTCTTGTCTAATGTAGTTGGTGCCAGATGTTGCTGAATTCTTAACAATGGTACCTGGCTTCTGGAGAGAATATCCCAACGTCCTCTACAGCATAAGCATCATAGGAATCATCAGAGTTACAAGGCAGTGCTAAGCACTAAAGCTCCCTCTCATCCACATGCAGGTCTCTGTTTATGTGGAGATCACTCATGGAAAGCTAGAATTATAGTGTATTTCTGGAGAAAAATTCTACTCTCATTTCGGCATAGCGGGGAAAACAAAAAAATTTTCACCACTTTCCGTCTGTCTCTAATGTGAACTTGGTGAAGTACTTTGTAACGGTTTCATTTTTCGATCACGATGTTGCTCTTTCACCTAGAATACAAAGTCACAAAGCAGTTTCACTAGTATGTTGGCCACTACTGCACCCTTCAACAGATCTAGTAGATTTTGCCCGCGCTCGTGTAATCTCATTCTATCAGTCCTCTGAACAAATCATGCAACGATGTTCAGTGTGGACGTGAGCTACATAAATCATTCTTCATATTAGATCGAATTGTTGACTACATGATGACAATCTTTATCCTTTTATGCAAGTACTAGGCGGTTAGTTTCATTTCTTGGAATGGCATCTATGGAATGGTTGTACGACTAAGAAGATTGGCATTTCTAGACTAATCCATCACCACGTGTTTTCAGGATTAGATTCTTTTCTGTCAGTTGCCAAAATCCATTGATCGGGTAGAGATCGATTGTTGATATGGCGTCTTCAAACTCAAGTGAAAATCACGGAGGTGTCAACCATTGCAAAAACCAGGTACCTATGTCCCAATTCAAGCTCACTAACTATGAAATAACTTAATGATAATAATATTTAATGCTTTGATTAGTAAAAATCGGTTTTAGGGTGATTCGTAATAAAATTTTTTCTGCTACCTCACTCAGAAGTACGTGTAGTGCAGTGGTTACGAGCGCCCTGGAGTACACAAAGGATCAATCCCGCGCTCCAGGCTTACCAAGCTTTCCATCACTTCAAGGTCGGAAAATTGATGGCAGACTTATCTGGAGAGCACTTGCACTGACTCGATACATCGATTGACCACTGCGAGACATTTTTAGGCCAGATATGCAATCACCTCTAACGACGCTTCATGAAGGCGAATGCATGACACACCCTTCAGAGACTGATCAACGCCGAAGGTTCCATTCTTTTTTTGTTCATCTCCGTTACTATAGCTTATAGCTACATCACTGATGGTTTGGGCTTTTAAGTACGCTTCTGCGAGGTAGAGAGTGGCTTTACTTCGTTGCTTATCAAGCAAAGCTGAGTTGAGAACGTTGGACCACGTCTGACCCTTCTAATCTGCCTTTATTCTACTGTTTTACTCTTCGATATAGATATATACTAAAGAGTAAAAGAACTGGAGAAATAGTAGTAGTCTATTTGGAGTTAGGTGATACAGTAGCTAGAGCAATATAGAGCAACTCTAATCATTCTGTACTTACAATAGTGAAGAAGTCTAAATTAAGACGCCGATCTTATGAAACAGTATCTCAGAAAATTATCAGGACAGCGGATGATCGTTTGACCTTCCGAGACGTATGCGTTAGGTACAAGAGCTATGGCAAAATTTATCATGAACTCACTGTCTTCCTTGAACAGCAAATACAAGGCTGGCGTTACAGCATTTATTAAGAAAGAATTACCAACGTATCCGCGGTTTTTTTCGCCCTCTTCAGAACCTGAAAAGTTCGAATTTACATGCAATCCACTCAGGCAAACACGTTCTTAATCTCGGCGGAAAACACCTATCACATACTCTTCCATTCGCATAATAAACAGCTTCTTTTAAACGCCCACCATTCCGTTCTTTGTAAGTCGTCCAGTCATTTGGTGCGCGGGCTGTCAGTGAGATTCACGCCTCCTAATACAGTGGGCAGTGATTTCTCCGAAATGTTGTCGATTCTTGCTTCATTCTTTCAACTTTCTTAATCGGTCCTTCGTTTTATTGAAGCTGCTGTATGCGATCTATCTACCACATTTTCGGTTTTTCTGCCAAAAAAAAACTTGAACATTTGGCCTAGTAGATTTGCGAATCAAACTTACTCTCAAATTATTCTCCTTCGAAGGTGGTCCTACAAATATTAAACACTGTAGTTCGCACTTTCTCAGTTGCGAGATCGTCTTCTCCTTCTTCTGCTTTTATCGGAAAAAGTACCAGATACTCGCGTTTCGATGTCCGATGCTTGTAGCTCTCCTCTAGTAGAGCAAATTATTCATGTAGCCATTTTCGTTTGATGAAGCTTGGAGCGACACTCCTTCCTTTCTTCCTTAGAACACTGTACTAACACCGACTTACAGAATGGATTGTCCACATGAAAAGAAATTATTATCAGTCGACAATCGGTCAACAACTGTTCTATATAAAATGGCATCGCTCAGTGAGGCCCTCTCATTTGAATAGCTACATTGAAGAAAATTCAACTCAGTACGACGACGAAGACACCACATCGAGAAGACATACAGCTGTGGACCATGGACTCCAATCATCGGCTCTGATGAAAGAATAAGACTTTGGAAGGTCAGCCGAATAAAACTTACATAACAACCTCGTGTAAACTGAACGATTCAAAAAAATATATTACATACATATCATACATACATAGTACATTTCACAGTTTCAGCAGAGATAAATGCCAACAGTGAGGGGATTCATCTCTCTCGCAGGGTCTCCCAACCTGAAAAGGAGCCC